GAGAGAGAGAGAGAGAGAGAGAGAGAGAGAGAGAGAGAGAGAGAGAGAGATTTGCATCGAGTTCGCTACCCGCAGGTTCGATATGAGATCACCGGCCTTGGTATCGCCAGCAAGTACTTCGTAATCGATCCTGACACCGGCGTACTCCGAATACGAGACGACTTGCGTAAGGAAACCGATTCCGAGTATCAGGTATTTGATCCTCCGAATACAATCCAAAAGGCTGCGCGTCGCTCGTCATCTAACTCACACGAGGTAACTTTTTCTTTTTTCTTAGGTCCAAGTGCGTGCGTACGACATGGGAGAGCCACAATTGTCAATCGTGACGACCGTACCGGTCTACGTTCGTCATGTGGCGACGGTACCACCGGAGATCGGTTTGGGTTTCGCGGAGAACTCGTATAACGTCGAGGTACCTGAGGACGCGGGCGACAACACGCTAATAAAGATAATTACCATCATCAACAGTCACGCATACGACACGCCGCTCAAGTGCGAGATTTACAGCGGCAATGAGGAAGGCCTATTCGACGCGAATGTCACGGAAGAGCGAAATTGCGCACTGAGACTGAAGAAAGGAGCGTTAGATTACGAGACAACGGAATCTTACCAGATTAAAATCAAGCTGGAATCGCTCTCGGGTCTTTTAAACTCAGGCAGAAACACGACGATGGTAAGACATGATAGACTCAGAACTTGCCTTAATCCTGATGTACAAATTTTTATAATTGAAATAGGATCAACATGAACAAATATATTAAAGATAAAAAATTTAATTTAATTATGTTTTAGATACATATAAACAAATTAATTTACTTGTCTTGTAAATATAATTTAACTATTAATTTAACTATTAATAAGACATATTTTATCTCCTAATAAAGATTTCTCTATTTATATATTTTAGTTATATATATTTAGTTGTAATCTTTAGATATAAAAAATATAAATCCTAGCAGTTTTTCTTATTTATTATAATTTAAAAACAAAATTTATTTTAATACATTAAACATATGATTTTTATATGTAGAAGAAAAATAAATGAACAATTTAATTTCTGTAAGCAGCTTTAATTCGCTATGTTTCGCTATAAAGAAAATTATTAATTCTTATTTGTCCTTAATAAAAAAAACGTGTTTGATCGCAGGTGAAGATTCAGGTATTGGACGTAAATGATAACAAGCCCGAATTTATCTTCCCGGAGACAAGTCAGAAGCTTACAAGAGGACGTTACTTTGCGGCGATTCCCTATACCGCACAATTCGCATCTACCGTCGTACAGGTGAAAGCTCACGATAAAGACAACGGGAAGTACGGCAAGCTCGAGTACAAGATCCTGGAAGGACGTGGCTCTGATTACTTTGCTGTCGATAGCTCCACCGGCATAATTAGGACAACGGTGACATTCGATCACGTGGATGCATCCGAACTTCCTTTCAAGTTTGACGTTCGCGTACGCGATAACCCTAACTCGACCGACAACTATAACTCGATCGTTGCCCCGGTGATCGTTAATCTTATCGGGGAAGAAAACTTGATGATCTTGGTGGTGCAAGATGCGGCGCCGGAAGCGCTGCAAAAGGAAGCCGGAAAAATAGCAAATGTAATCGAGCAGAGGAGTGGCCTGCTGATCGGCATCGACAGAGTCGCAGTAAGAAAGATCCTCACGAAGAATGGTACTATCGAGACGTTCCCACAGGACTCTGACGTGTGGTTTTACGCGGTCGATCCGGATACCGAGGTTATACTGAGTAGAAACAGCACCAGAGTGCAGAGGTATGTCTTAAAGAGCATGTGTATATAATAATAAATTCAAAAAACATAAAAAAAGTTTAAAACTTCCAGAAATAAAATCTTCTCGGAAATCTTTTTAAAATCATCATTTGGACTTTTACGTTTAATAAAATTTTGTTAGAAGTCTGAATTCTCTTACTGTGCGTTGCTAAAGCCGCACTGTTATTTCACATTTATTTACGGAACAGTATTACATAATTGTACGCAATGCTCGCAATGTTGCAGTATGCTTTTAAATGTTTTCGTAAACAAAGCGTATTTTACAAAAATATGCTTGGCATGAGATACTGCGGGATTTCTCTTGATATTACTAAAAATTATTTCAAACTTTTTCAGAAATAATAATCACGCAACGAGCTCTGCAGAATAAAATTTTTTATGCAGTAATTAATAAATTAAGGATTAAATCAAATAACAGAATATTTTAAATTTTAACTTTTTAAAATTTTTTATTTAATTATTTTTTTAATTTAAACTATTTTTTTGCGATATTCTTAAACCTTAATCTCGTAAACATTGTTTGTTATGTTTACATACATGAATAAGATATTTATGATATTTTGGAAGAAAAAGTAACTTGCAACCTTTTCAATTAAAATTAAAATCGATACAAAGATAAAAAAAAACGTGGGAGCGTATTGATTGATGGTGAAAAACATACGTTTGCCACATAAGCATCTAAAGGTCAATTATGATGTTTAATTACGTAACATTTGATGGGGAGCAAATATTAGGAGAGCCGTATGGTCGACAGGTCCATCATGGATAAATCGGCCATGTCAAACATTACCTTTGACGTGTCTACATTAGTGCGGGCAAATGCCATCGACATTCACGCACCCGTGATGCCACCGGAGCCAATTCGAACACAAACAGCGGTAGCATTCAGCGGCGAGGTATTCCCGTACGCGCTGATTACCATTGCCTGCGTGATTCTGATCCTCGGCATCGTCGGTATCATTTACATATGCGTCTCTTGGTCCAAGTAAGTGCTACATTCACGTATGATTCTGAACTTGCACGATCATTGCCCATTTCTATCGATGTAGATTACTACTTTAATCTCAGTTGCCTCCCTTCCTTTCGAAAAATTTCCTTTCCTAATTCCCTTTCGAAGAACTTCCTTTCCTAATTCGAAAAGTTAGAAAAAGATAAAGAGTAGATTTAAACCGAGATTGAAGACATTGATAGATATGTGTGTTATCCAAATCATAAAGTAAACCGACAAGCGCACGTATATATATATACGAGAATATAATCATGAGGAAATTTAAATACAAAACGTGATATATTATGATATGTTATGGTACAAATGATATATAATTTAAATTATAAGCTTTTACGTGAGAAATCCATCATGAAAAAAAGTACATCTGTGTATATGCAATTATAATGGAGATAATATTTGATGAAGGGGGGAGAGGAGATTTAACTTGTACTTGAAATTAACATTGATACTAACATTGCAGTAAACTAACATTGATATCTATTATGCTATATGCATGTTAATTTAATAAAAACTATTGTTACTCGTGTACGGAGGACGATTGTAGTTATTACGATGAAAACTATTGTTACAGTTGCATGAGAGTGTTGTTCCGCGAATGCGAATATTCATTTGACTCATCACGTGCGCGAGCGGTGCTAAATTCATACTCCTCTTCATTACCTCTATTAGTTTTAATTGCAGTTTCCGTTTTGAATATCTCCGAGGCGAACATTTATTAAATCGACGTTACGATCGCGGTAAAATAGTTCTTCCGGAGTGTTTACTTCCGCGTTATGAAACGTAAGGCCTTTTGCGAGAGATCCTCATTGTGAAAATGTATACTGATATAGGTATAAAGCGTACAAGGAACGTATGCAGCGCATGTACGTGGTGCCACGATACGATCCCGTCTACGTGGAACCCAATTTGAAGGAATACGAGACGCAGGTACTCCAGATGAGCGTGCCGGTTGACGACAACGATAGCTGCAATGACTTGCAGTTGGACTTCAGCAACAAAAATCACGCGTTCAGTCTGGACAACGTCAGTTACATCACCAAAGATCACGGAGATAGTACTGGTAATTCCGAAAACAAAATTCATCATAATATCTGCATAACTAAACTGATCAAAGAAATTAACATTATAAATATCGCGATACTCGAAATATTTTGTGTACTTTTAGTCTTCTGTGTTTGGGATTAATTAAAAAGTGTTTCAGAAGGAAGATAGAATTAAAAACTGTATTTACCTTTATAATCTGTGAATTTTTTTTCTTGATATGAAAAATTACTTTATTCAGGGAAAATTGCGCGACAGAGATGTTTTAAAAATTATTTTATCCAGAATTATTTTATCCAGAGAAAATTAACGCGACAGAAATTCTTTTTGGACAACGTCACACCGTTCACATTAGGGTTGAGATATAGCGAGCTTATGTGCTCTGTTTAAGGCCAACAAAGTCCCGTTAGCTCCGAAGCGGCGACCACGGCACGAGCGTCCAGCATCGTCGGTAATCACGGCGACACCAATATCCATTCCCTACGACGGTCCACGTTGGGCCGAAAGAATCATAGCGCGAGCAACACGAACACCCTGAACAATCGCGATGCCACACCGGTACTTAATCCCCTGTACAATCACGGCAATGATCTGCTGAGCCCTAGTCCGTCCAATGACAATGTCACCTTCAGGGAGAGGAAGGATTATTCGCATCTCGGCTTCACGTATCTGGGCGAGCAAAGCCCGGTGGAAACCACGACAGAATTGTAAGTTATATGACTTGGGAGACATATAACTTGTGCGAAAAATATTGGTCACCTTCAAGACTGTCACTGAAATTATACATAGAAGACAAGGATGAAAGAAGAGATGTAATCCCGATTACGTCCCGTAATTTTTATTTTGATATCGTATACATATCGTATACACGAATAAGATGACACTGTGATGTGTGATGAGTGTATGGACACGGTATTTTTTTTTTTTATATATATCGAAGTTTGATCAACGGTGAAAGATTTTAATAAAATTCAAAATACCATGCGTGAAATTCTATCGATGAAAGATCGTCTCGTATTTTCAACAACAAATAGAATCAATGTTTACCCGTCCTTTGTCCGCAACAAGGAAAATCTTTGTATATTTAATTTCAATAAATGAGCTCATATACAAGCAATACGATGACGAGAGGAGTGGTATCGGAACATTCGATACCACGTAGCTCGCATATTTTTTTTTTTCTGACGCGTCAAGCCACCCTAAAGCGCCATGCGAAGAGCATATGAAAGCATATAAATAGTTGAATGATTTCGTACCTATATATTCTTCCTTTCATATGTCATCTTCTGAATGTGCGGCGATGCCTGCGTGCCGATTCAGAGCGCGCAATGTAGTCGCGGAATTCCCGACGGGAACACATTCTGAACGAGTTACTCCGTATGTGATATCCATAAAAGAGCAGTGATATAGCGTTCAGGATACAACGGCGAAACGAGGCCGTGAAAATATCGCGCGCGTAAAAGGCGACTGAAAGAGAGCACGGAGAGATCCTTTAGAGCCAGCCGATATTCCGTGTGATTTGCTTTCTATCGAGCATCGCGCGTTTTCGTTCCAGATGACAAAATTCTGTCAATAAACTGCGAGATAAGTAATCGCAACACCTCGAATTAATTAAGCGACTGCACGAAAAGATTGCCGTGTAACCAAGTCTTATTCCAATATGTTTCCGAATCGAAATTTTACTCCTGTTTTTTTTACCTTAAAATTTTACCTTAGGTCTAAAGGTTTATTAAGATACTGAAGCATTGTGTTAAATAATATCAAAAGAAATTAGTCTGATTGTTTAAAATTAGGAAAAATTCTAATCGAGATTAAAAGTAGGAGGAGGAAAAATTTCTCGGGTTCGGAGATGTTTTTTCGTATCCCGGGGAGACCCGCATGGATTCTCATCCGTGATATGTTAATGTACATTTTAATTATAGAGAGAGAAAGAGACAGAGAGAAAGCGAGAGAGAAAGCGAAAATGTCACTGCGGATCGAATCGTTCAATATAGATTTAAGATCCGAGGACGAAGCTATGTAATACTTGTTACAAATGTGTACTTGCGAATGTATGTCCCTCCGGCGAGTCCTATTAGGCTCGCGACTTTGTAAATGATCACGTTGTGTATTATAATACCTTTTTTATTTATATGATCGCGTTTGCTCATGTCATTCTACCGTATAGCATCGTAATCACGATTAACCGACGACGATGGTGCATGCCATTTGCACGTGATCGCAAGGATAACCGGAACATTTTTGTGACAGCTGTTGCGCTTCCGTCGCGAGCTGCCTCTTGTTTATGAACGATAATTAACGACTGCCATGTAGAAAAGGCGTCATCGACACCCGGCGACGCAGAGGGTGGAGTGCGTACTTAATTAGAGACGCGTAACTGTCCATTTCCTCTACGTAATTTCGACCACGCTATCCGATTTTTATCCATTTTTTTTTTTTGCGGATTAACTTCAATCTCGGTTTAAATATATTCTTCACTTTTTTCTAATTTTTCGAATTAGAAAAGCAAGTTAAATCGAGATTAACGTTAATCTACATTGGCAAAAAGTCCGATTGTATCAATGTTATTTTGGCTTTAAGCGAGATTTAAGTGTCTATCTTCATTTAGAAAGAAAAGTAAGGGCAGATACACGTGTAAGTTTCGTTTAAAGCTAACAAATAACGTTGGAACAACCCGGCCTTAGTGGATTAAATTCGACAAGTTTGCGAGGGGGCGTTGGGCGAAACGGCGTTGAGGGAAGTTAAGTATGATACGACTTGATTAAATGTATATCTCTAGTCGTACATAAGCGGGCGTCCACTGCCGTGCAAATTGTAAGCTGCGTTTTATACTGACGGAGAAGAAGGATAATCAATGTGTATGTGTTAAAAGTGTTCTCTTTTATAGCGTTGATATCTTTACTTGTATAATATTTAAGCGCGAATTCTGTAAAAAATTGTTAATATCTAATAATAAATTTATTATATTTACATAATAATGCTTCTCTCTTTGATGCGATATACGCCCAGCGGCGTCTTCCCTTTTTAACGCAGAGTAAACTGCGTACCGCTACTGAGTTAGCTATTACGTAAATTCAAACCACGTTAATTCAAATTTATTCGCGTTTCCACGCGATTCTAAATTAAATGCAGCTTTGCCCGATTCCCACGTAAGATGGGAAATGCGATCTTTCGCATTCGTTTCACACGCACGAATTATATCTTTAGAAAAGTGAATATTACGTTTCGTATCCCTCTTGCGAAATTACCTATTATATAACTAACTCTATCGTTCTGATAATATTTTTAACGCATTACATAGAGAGCTGTTATATTCTTACACGAAAATTTATTCGTTCGCAAAATCACGTAATCAGCTATATATTCGATCTCTATTCAATCTACGGTTCTAAAGGAAATGGGAACGGGAACGGGAACAGGAGTGGGAACGGCTATCGCTCTCTAAAGCAGAAAGCAGCTCTAGACCGCTTAATTAGAGCGTGGGAAATTATACTTTGAGCTAGTACGATAGACCGCTCACTCATACTCGTCGCGAGATGGGAAGAGAGAGAGCGTGTCGGTGTGAGATCCGAGCTCGTCGACGGGATCGTTCTGCGTAACGGGCGGGTTTCAACTATGCCCGACGATAGAGCGTCGGCGCCGCGACGCCGGGCGCACGCAGACGCATCTGGACCAGCGTCGGTGACGTAGAAACGAGGAACGAGAGGCAAAAGCGGAGCTCCGGAGGCAGCCTCTGCCGTTTCGACAGATAACGCACGGGTTGTCCTGGTGGTGGTGACACGGCGCGCTCGACCGCTCGATCCTTCCGTCAGGATCAACGCGCAGGAAATCACGTTACGCGAGGGCTAAATACCGGTTACGCGTTACGTAAGTAAGAAGGTATTCCCCATCGATTCTCCAGTATTGATGAGTAACAGGCGGGTCCGTCCTCCCATTCCCTCAGCTCGCGACGCCGACATCCCGAGCGCCGCGCAGATCGAAGCGTCAGAATGGTCGAAGAGACGCGATGACGTACCGCTAAGGGATCGTGAACCACCTGTGAACCGACTCGGAAATGGCCAAGATGATAATGGTCTCTAGGATTACGGATGTGCATCTACGTTTGTGATCACGGTACGACTGTGTGTGAGACATCGTTTTGCAAAACGCACGACGGATCGCGCAATCGTGTAACAGTTACGTGATATTCGAAGGAATATCAAGAGCGAGTAACGAGTATCAAGTAGAATAAGCTAATTTGTTCGTGACAGGTAAATGCTTGTGTACTTGTGTATTTTTGCTTCAGTAGTGATCGTTCTAACAGTTGATAATTTCAACTTATATTTGATTGATAAAAGGCTATAATTTTAATATAATAAATTTAATGTAATAAAGAAATTCTAAACTGTGTTTAATATGAGATGTTATTAACAAGGATTAGTGAAATAAGCAATTAATAAAAAATACTTAAATTTCCTTTTTAATACATTTCTAAAAAAAAGAACATTAATTTTATCTTATATTTTTAGCTTTTGCTAATATCTAAATTTAGAAGCTGAACAATTGTTTTTCGAAATTTTATTCATTTGAAGTTACTTTCGAAATTGAAAACATTTCAGCTATATGAAACTTTTAAACGTATTTGATTAAATTAAATTTAAAAATAAGAAGAAACTCTATCAGATTTTATCATATTTATCAAGCTGAAAAAAGAGAAATTTTTTAAACGATTTTCATTTTTAGATTATATTTTTAGAAAAGATATATTCAACTCACATAAATTAAAATCAACGTTTAAACGTAATTGTTACCAAATTGTTACCTTTGATACATTATTTTGCATTATTTTAATATTTAATATTAATTTAATAAATGAATATATTCAGTATATATGTATATATTATTAATATAAAACAATAACACTTACAATAACACTTTACAAGAAGAACTGAAAACTTGAAAACGATAAAAAATATAATTAAACGATAAAAAATTTAATTTAAGAAGATTTAAACTGTTTAATATCTCTATGATAAATTTCAAATTTACGTTCCGTGGCATATACGAGCTTAAAACAGGTCACCCTTATATTTGCAGATTGATGACTAATTGGAAGATCAAGGATAACAAACATGAAATACTTAAAAGTCGCACTGTTCACATTCAATCTATTAATATGGGTAAATAACACGCATGCAACATTGTAACATAAATTAAGTCTAGAAATAGCGACACGTGCCACAAGCACTTAGACGCAGATGCTTGAACTATAAATAATTCTGGCGTAATTCTGTAGTTCAGAGCAAAACAATTGTCTTCGGTACTTTCGTATTGTTCGGCCCTGTCTGCGTTAGTAGATTTTATCTCCGGAAAGAGGCAGAAAATTATTTTAAGCGTCATTTTTGCGACGTTCAAGAAGGGAGTTCCTCCGGAGGACACAGAATTACTGTTTCGCGCGAGTTCACGATAGGGTGAACAATCGAGACGTAAGAATTATCATGCGGCTTTTCCTTTCGGCAGTTGGCTGGCTGCACGGTGCTCGTGATAGGCGCATGGTTGCTCCTGGAGCCCAGCAAGGGACACATCCTGAACCTTTTCGTGTCTGACGTCAAGCCGCACGAGACTATTAATCTGATAGCTTACAGCCTCCTCGGCCTCGGCTTCATCGTGCTCACGGTCGGCTTCTTCGGCTGCCGCGCCGCGCTACGCGGAAATCAATGCATCCTCGCCACCGTGAGTGAAACGACATTTTTATTGCCTCCACCCCTCGGGGCGCATGTACCATTATAGATGTCGGGTCAGGGTCGATGATGTTTTTATCGGCAATTTATCGTTTTTCCGCAGTACATGAGCATGCTGGTCGCGCTCATCGTCACGGAACTGGTGACGGCCGCGATCGGCGGGTTGATGACTTTTCAAATCTTGTCGGACCTGGAGGAGAGGCTCACGAATAAACTGACGGTAGACTACGGCCACGATCCGACCAGCGATATTCCTTTCAGCCACAGCCTGGACTTTGCGCAGTATAAGGTGTTGTATCAACAGAGTCGATCTTACGGCATGTCTTCTCACCGCTCATTCCTTATTACGCATCCCTTGGCGATATTCTTCATTTTTCTTTTACTATTACAATTTAAGTTTGTTACACTCATCTTGCGTACAATTGTAACTGTTAATCCTGATTATTAGCTTTTATGTGTTTTATGCGATTTCAACCTTGCTCTGGATATACATTTAAAAAATCGCACGTAATCGTGTATCTGTGCACGGCATTTTTGTAAAATGCGAGAGATAATAGTGTAAAAATATCTCTTTTTCATCTGAAATATTATATATACTTAAAAACTTCTCTTGTTTCATTTTTCCTGTAGCATGTATTGCGCGCGGAAACGCGCTTGTAAATTATGTTTCATGCATGATGGGGTCGCATGCGATGCTTTGTCAGAAATCGTCTGCCCGACGAGACATTTCGCGATGGTTCGAAGAGCACATGGGTGATTCCATTGCAGTTTAATTGCTGCGGAATACACGGCGACGACGATTACAATGGCACAGCTTGGTGGAGGGACGGTCAAATCTCGGGGAGCAGGCGGCAGGTTCCCCTCACGTGTTGTGTTCTCAAAAATAACGAGGTACTCTATACATTTGAATCGACTGATCCTAAAGCAACATGATATCTAATATTCGGACGTTGAGATAGCTAATCAAATATGTTTTGAAAGCACAAACACAAATTCACATAATGTAACATTATCTGTTATCCAGATATCTCTCTTGAAGATGAATATAAGTTTAGATTATATTTCTCGAGATTTTTATTGTTCCTTTAGTATCTCAATTTACTCGTTTTAAAATATTTGTCATCTTAAACGTCTGATTAATTAATTTTTTTTTTTTAATGATAATCATAATGCACGGTTCGTTAATAAAAACTAAAGCTTCTGTTTTGCAGAATAAAAATACAGGCAGTCCGATGAGCGTTGTTTCGAGAGTGTTTCATAAAAATGTGAGTAAAATGTCAGCGACGAAAACAAATGTATAAACTTTATGTGAGTAATCTCTTGTCGCTGGTAGAACGAGAAGCCATGGCTGCATCCGCAGCCAAAGGATGAGGCCGCGTGTCAAATAGAAGACGAAGAAGCTCACGAGGGATATAGGCACAAAGAGGTCCGTATCTCGCTGCAAAGTACCACATATCGTTGCATCTTATATATATTACTATTTCAAATGAATGACGCATTTTCTTAGGGGTGCCTTGGGAAAGTCACGAACTGGTTGCAATGTGAGAGCTTCACGTTAGTATTTCTCGGCATGGCAATGGCAGGAATACAGGTAAACTTTTCTGAACTATTCTTTCGTGAATTTTGGAAAAAGCGATGTTTCTATCAATATACATTAATTTTAAGCTCAGTTTATCTGGTTAACCTGGTAACCTTTTAATCTTTTTTAATTCTAAGAATTAAAGAAAATAAAGAGTAAATTAAACCAAAATTAATCTACATTGGTAAAAATGGATATTAAAAATGTATCGTTAACTAAAGATTTTTCTTTACAATTTTAATTTGTGGAAGCGCTCTTAATCTTCAAATTTTATAAAACGTGTTTACAGAAATTTCCATAGCGCAAAATGTAATTATTTATTTCAAAGAATTTTCTGCACCTTTTTTTAATAACAGATTTATCAAATTATTTTTTTTTAATAATTCCCTCCCTTTTATTTTATAAAATTTGCGAAAACGAAATAATCATACTAATATATTTCAGACGTTCGGAATTATAACGTCCGCTTTCCTCTGTCGAACGATAAGAGACATGCAGGAAGAATGATCCAGGGTTCGTAGTCTCAATGAAGTAAAAAGAATGTCGTGGCACGTTCAATCTTTACATTGACAACTTTGGGAGAAGAGATGTATTCATTTTATATCTTCGTGTACTCGGCTTGCTTGGAAAACTTCCACGGTTCGTGAGTTCGAACTCGGAGATGATCGGAACTTGTAGAACCACGAGAGAAGGAATACTGCGGGGAGAAAGTAATCTGAATACTTGTTCTGTTCCACGAGGTGTCTGTTCATTGGGAACTTCGAGACGAAATAACGATAAGTGCTACGCTTGAGTTTAGATTGTTCTCACTTCTGTGCGCGTTTTGCTGCCAATCAGCAATAATGTGATCAACACACCCTGCTGTATATATAGTACCACATATGCATCTGTGTCGTGTTCTAACTAATACTAAAAAAAAAAAAAAAAAAAACAACAACAACAAACG